AGGAACAGATCACAAATGAAAGAAATGGAGGAAAACCAATGACTGGATATAGAGTTCGAAACCACGGTTATTAGGTTTTTCAAGAGTCTTCTAGAAACCTCTGAGAAATTTATCAAGACCCTCAAGAATATGAAAAAGGACCAACTAGCATTCACTGACTGAAATAAAGAATAATATACAGAGATCCAATTGCAGACTAGAGGATTGCAAGAATCAAGTTAAAATTTTGAAATATGAAGCAAAAAACACCCAACTGGAAAAGCAAAAAGAAAAAGGAACCCCAAAATTTGAAGATAGTGTAAGGAGCCTCTGGGATAACTTCAAGCATACCAACATCAGAATTATGGGGGTGCCAGAAGAAGAGAGAGAGCAAGATACTGAAAACCTATTAGAAGAAATAATGACAGAAAACTTTCCCTACCTGGTGAAAGAAATAGACTTACAAGTCCAGGAAGCGTACAGAACCCCAAACAAAAGGAATCCAAAGAGGACCACACCAAGACACATCACAATCAAAATGCCAAGAGCAAAAGACAAAAAAAAAGAGAATTTTAAAAGCAGCAAGAGAAAAACAGTTTCCTACAAGGGAGTACCCATATGATTGTCAGCTGATTTCTCAGCACAAACTTCTATGCAGGCCAGAAGGGAGTGGCAAGAAATATTCAAAGTGATGAACAGCAAGAACCTACAACCAAGATTACTCTACCCAGTAAATCTATCATTCAGAATTGAAGGTCAGATAAAGAACTTTACAGATAAGAAAAAGCTAAAGGAATTTATCACTGCCAAACCAGTATTATATGAAATGCTGAAGGGTATTCTTTAAGAAGAGGAAGAAGAAGAAAAGGGTTAAAGATAAAAATTATGAACAAGTACATATCTATCAACAAGTGAATCTAAAAATCAAGTGAATAAAAAGTCTGATGAACAGAATAAATGGTGGATATAATAGAATCAAGGGCATAGAAAGATTGACAATTCTCAGGAGGAAAGGGGTGTGGAGGGTGTGGGAAGAGACTGAACAAAAATTGTACACCTATAGATGAGGACAGTGTGGGGGGTGGAGGGGAGTGAAGGAAGAAGGTGGGGTGGGAACCGGGTGGAGGGGAGCTATGGGAAGAAAATAATAATCTGAACAATAAAGATTTATTTTATAAAAAATGCCCCCCCAAAAAACAAAAACAAACAACACCAAAACATAAATTTTAAAAGGATGAGCTAAAGATGAAAGAGACCATATTTCATAATGACATGTTACTCATAATAGCTTCATTTTATTATCAGCAAATATCTGAAGGCAAAATACAGATAGAGGACAAGGTTTGTGGTTTCAGCAGCAGTTCTAAATCAGTTTTCAAATTGTTTTGGTAATTTCAGATGTTGTTCTGGTTGTCTTGTCAGATTTGGGAAACATTGCTTTATATCACATCCTCTATCCTTAACATTGCTTTTTCTTTCCTGTCAAAACCAAAAAGCTCTGCTAGCACCTCCTTTGGCTGCCTCCCTCCTCCAGAAATGTGGAGGTAGTCATCTTTGACACCTCTCTTTTCCTTGTCCCCTCAACCATTTATTTACCATAGTCTGGTAAATATGGGATCAACTCTTCCCACATTCTCTTTTGATTCCCAAGTTCCCACCACCGGGGCTCCATCTTCCTCCCAGTCATTACAGGAGTTTACACTTCAGATCCTCTCTCGCTGGACTGCCCCCGGTCCCTTCACCTGTCTCCTCCTTGCCCCAGGATGAAGGTTACTTCCCTCATTGCCCAGTATACTTTCTGAGGCTCTTTGGACCTTTTTTCATGGCTCTTATCACAATTTCATTTTTAAACTTATTATATTTAAGTTTGTTTAAAGTATATAGCCCCCTAGTATGTAGATTATAAATTCCTTGAAGGCAGGGACTATACCTGCGCGCTCACTCTCTCTCTCTCTCTCTCTCTTTCTCTCTCTCTCTCTCTCTCTCTTTCCCCCTCCCCGTGTGTGTATGTGTGTGTGTGTGTGTGTGTGTGTTTGTGTGTGTGTGCATGTGTGTGATGCAGCCTCAAAAAATAATTAATACAGCAACTCTATGAAGTAGTTCCAAACAGTATCTCCATTTTACAGATGAAAAAAATTGAAAGACAAACGGTTAATTGCCAAAAGGTCACTAGGTTAATATGCTGGTATCAGACCCAGGTCTTTCGATTGCAGTGTGAACACTTACCAGCTGCTCTAAGTTATTCACTGGTAACCTGCATAGGCTAAGGGCTCATCTTAAGTCCCACCATCCTTGCTGATGCCCCACCAGCCCTCTACAGTGAGTCTCTTTGTGTTGAATTAGTTTGATTAGTATTCAAGGTCTCCATATAACAATATTTATCCTATGCTATTCTGAATAACTTCATCTTTTCCCCCAGATAATTCCAGTCCCTAAATCTCACTCACCTAAGGTATATTGTAAAGTGAGACCCTTCATTGACTCATTCTTCTCTTGAATCCCTTGGCAAGGACCTGGGGACTCCACATACTGAGTAAATAATTACTATTAGTTGATTGTCATCAGGAGGGTGACAAAGATTTCATCTGACTCCCAAGTTAAATCCCGTCTTTGCACATACATGCTCCCCAGCCAAGAGCAAGACCGGATTCAGAGAAGTTCTAACTGTTCCATTTTGCGCTTGTTGGCTTTCTTCCTGGTGGATTTCAATTTCTGGCTGAAACCCAATAATTTAAGGGTCTTCATTACCATGAGTAATTTCATGAGTTGCTGATGGCTAATTAGGGGTGATTATGGTTAAGAGGCTCTACTTTCTTACTAACCCTCAGAAAAAACTGATGGTCACTTTTAAAATCTTGATTATTTTCTCTTGTAAATGGAATTTTCTGGTCTCATAGCTGTCTTTTCTTAAGTGCTCATAACTTACCTTCCCATCTTCCCTTTCTTGTGAGAAGGAAATGTAAAGTCCTAGGAAGAATTTGGAAATGAGTGATTTTGCAAAACTCTTGCTTTATTAGAGGGGACCCCTTGGCACACCTAGAAATCTTGTTCATTTATTTGTCTTTCTCTGAAAAAAGGTGCAGGAGGATAGGAGGCTGGCCATGATTTTACTTCCCAACACCCATCACATTTCAACCAAACCTCCCATCCTGGGCTTTCTGAGGCTTTTCATAAAGTTTGAAAGTGTTGGATCACTTGAAATGTAGAAATTCTGTTTAGTGAAGGATTCTAAATAAAGTAGGGGAAGGAGTGTTAGCTTCCTGATTTTACTATGATAACACATTTTAAGTGTTGCTTCACCTCTTCTTGCATGAGTATCATCAGAGCTACTTTTTATTGACTATAACTTTGTGTCAGGCACTGGGCCAATGTCCACTCACTTAATTCTCACAATTACTTGAAGTAGTTTTTAGGCAGTGTTTTGAAAGTTTCATTAAGTTATAATTCATATACCATACTTCACCAATTTAAAAGTGTATAATTCAGTGGTTTTTAGTATATTCACAGGGCTGTGCAGCCATCACCACAATCTAATATTAAAACATTTTTGTCATCCCAAGAGGAAACATTGTACCCTCCCATGAGCACCATCCAACCACCAGATGGTGGCAACCACTAATGTACTTTCTGTCTCTATAGATATGCTTATTCTGGACAATTGTTATGAATGGAATCATACAATATATGATCTTTGTGGCTTGCTTCTTTTATTTAGGATAATGTTTTCAAGGTTCATCTTTGTTGGAGCATGTGTTAGTATGTCATTTCTTTGTGTTGTATTTTTACCCACTTCTGAGGTTAACTCTGGTCCCAACCACAGCCCCACCCCTTGCTATCCACCTCTTACTCAAAGGAAACAGTTACATCCAGGAGCATAAGAAGGGCAGTTGTGCATTAGGGAAACCAAAACACAGAGGCAAAATGACTTCCCTGTGGTTAAGTAGCTTTCAACAGATGTGGCTAAATTTCCAATGCAGGCTTGCCTAATGCCAGTTTGGCTATGAGTTTAGTCTGTGTTGTCCACTGATGGTTGTTAGTGCCAATCACTGCCAATAGGAATCCCCAATTATGAATGCAATGAAGAAGGAAACTATTTTTCAGTACACAACAGCACCACTGTGATACAGTATGGCTGTGAGAACAGCAGGGCTGTGAGCAGCTCTGGGCCAGTCCTCTGTCTGGCTAGACATCTGCTCATCTCCTTCTGGTCTGCTATGCTCCATTCTTGTCTGCTTTGCAGTGCTGTGCTCTGCTCCACTCTGTTCCAGTGAGACATCTTTGGTGGTTCAGCTCAGCCAGGGAAATGCAATTTTTAGTCTTGGGTGGAAAGGGAAGTGTGCTTCCAGAGCCAGAGGGGAGCTGGCTTATACAACAGAAGTCCTAGCTCCTAGTCCCTGATTGGTCTGTTCTCATGCAAATGAAGCCTCCAAATCCTCAGTTTGATTGGTCCAAAAGGCTCTATCCTGCTTGGTCAGAATAGAGCTTTTCTGGTTTGTTGAATCTGCATATCTCTGATTGAATGGGGAAAGCCTCAGTCCTATTGGCTGAAATTAGAGTCCAGGAATTCTTTCATCAAGGGCTGGCTCAGATGGCAGAAACACAATGCAGGCTTCACCATGAAGTGCAATTTGCATAAGAGGCTCCTGTGTAGAAATGGCTACTAGGTTCTGTTTTTGTTGTTTGTTTATTTGGTTTTTAATTTGAGCCAAGTTAGCCACAGGGAGCTTTTCTTAGTAGATATCTTCTTTCTCGGAGTCCTCAGAGATCATCATTGATAGGTATTTATTGGACATCTTGTGTGTATTAGTCACTGTGCTGAATGTCCTGCAAGTTTGGTACCTCATATTAATACACAATTAAACTTCAGCTGGGAAATCTGGTAATGATAACTGGTCAGTGGAATTTGTGTTCACATGTCTTCCATTGATCACTTCTGGTTTCATTGGCTTACTTGCAGAATTGTAGCCTGAGGAATTTTCCTAAGCACCATGCTAAAAATAGCATTATTGTTCCTTCCATAGGAGTTTGAATACCACTCCCACCTGCAGAAAATTAGCAACATCTCCCAAGAGGCCTTGCTTTTTCCCTGGACCCTGGCATCATGGTTTCCAATTTTATGGGGTTTCTCAGGTAAGTGGAGAACCTTTTAAAAAGAGAATAAGGAACCAGATCAATTAAGTCAAAATCTGCTCAAAACATCTATGATTTTTACCTGTACTTTAAAAAATCTGATCCTAATATCAACCATGCTAGATAAGTGGAACAAACACTAGAATCTCTAATTTGCAGAACAGAAACCAGTGCTCAGAGTCCTCAACCTCTGTGTCACATTCCTTTAGTGCAGAGTCAGAAAAAAAGCTCTGTGCTCAGGAATTGTAGTTCTTGTTATTGAGGTTATTTTCAAACTTTAAGCTAATAGACCTTTTTAAAAATTCTTTAATCAAAATGTTATGTAAAATCCTTTGTAATGAAAGCCTAGGAGGTGTCACACCTTCACACGACACCCTTGTGGGATGTCATCGCAAGATGGCCACCTCAAGATGGCCGCCAAAGAGATGGCTGCCACAAAGTGGCCACCACAAAGACGGCCATCACAAGATGGATAACAGGGAAGGGCAGTTGTGGATGATCAGGCAAGTAGGGGAGGGAAGTTGTGGGCAACCAAGCCTGCAGGGGAGAGCAGTTGGGGGCGACCAGGCCAGCAGGGGAGTGGTTAGGGGCAATAAGGCAGGCAGGCAGGCAGGTTAGGAATCATCAGTCCTGGATTGTGAGAGGGATCCCAGATTGGAGAGGGGGCAAGCCCCACTGAGGGGCACACCCCACCCCGATGCACAAATTTTGTGCATGGGGCCTCTAGTCTCAATATATAAAGTAACCAATGGCACTAGTTCATTAAGATAAATTTATTTTAGCCCTGGTCAGTGTGGCTCATTGTTATTGGGTGTCATTCCATACTCCAAAAGGTTGAGGTTTGATTCCTGCTCAGGGCACATACCCAGGTTGCATGTTCCATCCCTGGTAGGGTACATACAGGAGGCAACAGATAGATCTTTCTCTCTCTCTCTCTCTCTCTCTCTCTCTCTCTCTCTCTCTCTCTCTCTCTTTCTCTCTCTCTCTTCTTTCTTCTCTCTCTAAAATCAATGATAAAACAGATCCTTTGGTGCTTGGGTGAGGATAAAAAAAAAAAAGAAAGATAAATTTATTTTCCAGTTCAACTTTGTGTAATATTTACACATTATGGGGTCATTGAGTCTGTTTTGGTAAACACTAAAATTTGAACTCAGGATTTATGGCTGATAGCTGGTACATAAGCCGCATCACCTGTTTGATTTTACACTTGTTTTAGCTGCATAGTGTTAAGGAAATCTTGATCCGTACAGGTAAATAATTGCAATTAGTAACATTTTTTTTTCTTTTGCTAAAACTCATCTTGCAATTTTAGGATATTCTTTAGATTAATTGATCCAGAATCTAGAAAGATGGGAAGGAAGAACCTTCTGTTTCAAAGTTGAATCACAAAGGATATTGTGTAACACCCCATAACTATTCATTATTGTGGAGGGACTACAGGAAAGTAAAATGGTTTATAATATGCTATTACGTATGATGGCACCACACACGATTGCCCAACCAGTGCTTGAGCATTTGCCTGGCAGGTGCCCTTAGGCCCAGGCCTGGTGTTTAATTGAGGGCAGTAGTGCGTGTGTGTGCACTGTAGTCTATAGTTGCTTGTATAATTACATGAATAGACATGTGCAAGCCTGAAGTTCAAAGACCTGTGCAGAGCTATAACTTTCTTCATCAATGATATTCACATGTATGTCAGAAACAGTTAGAGGCCTCTGCAAAATCCAGCCATTAACAGGGCAGCCCAAGTTCAAGTTTTATGGTCTCTGCAGGGTTAATTTTTGGCATTTAATTTAATTTTGCATATGTGTATTTTTAAGCAATAGTTTAAAAAATAATTTAAAAGATATTTGAAGATATGCACTATATGTGCATTTGATGGAAGCTCCATCACACTGATGTAAAACACAGGCCACATGGAGATCTCAGCCTCATTGAATATAGTATCTAAGTGGGCACAGAGAAGTGGTGTCACGGTCACATACTAAACTGGATTGAAAAGAGCAGCAGGTGACCAACACTGGGCTCACCATGTGGTAAAAAAGTGTAAAATCTGGCTGTTACCAGAAAAGCCCTTAAAAGTACTGAGGACCTACACAATTGTGGCCACCAGGCTACACAGGAAGGGCTTTACTTGGGAAAAATCCCCTTTTGCAAATAATTTTTCTTTTTTTTTTCTCTTATAAATTTTATTTTGCAGCATAAACAAACATAATAACATATACCCAAATATATTCAGTGTACATTGTTAGCACAAAAGTGAAAATGCTGCATTGTAAATTAGTAGGTACTAAATATAATTCAGGAAAATTTTTCAGGGAGCTTGTGAGAAAGGCAACTTTTCCTCCCTCCCTCCCTCCCTCCCTCCCTCCCTCCCTTCCTTCCCTCCCTCCCTCCCTTCCTTCCTTCCTTCCTCTCTCTCTCTCTCTCTCTCTCTCTCTCTCTCTCTCTCTCTCTCTCTCTCTCTCTCTCTCTCCCTCTCTCTCTCTTATTGTTTGAAGGATTGCAAATAGTAGTACATATGTCTCCTTTCCTTCCTCCCCCCTTAACCTCCCCCCCACCACATATACCTTCACTCCCTCCCCCCCCTGTGTCTTATATCCATTGGTTATGTTTGTATGCATGCATACAAGTCCTTCGGTTGATCTCTTACAGCCCCCCCCCCCCAACCTCCCTTGCCTTCCCACTATAGTTCTTTATCTCTATAACTATTTTTCCCCCATTTCTTTTCTTTGAAAAATCTTGCAACTGCAGACTAGAAATAAACATAATAATAAAAACGTTTGAGTTCCAATTTCAGTGTCCAACAGTTCTGGGACCCAGTTTCAATGTCAAATAGTTACTTATGTGTACATGTCAGCAATGGTATCTGGATAGTCTTAGGCAACCCTGCTACCGGTTCTCAACCTGTGGGTTGCGACACAGGTTGAGAACTGCTGCTGTAGAGCCTAAGACCATAGGGAAACACCAATATTTACATTACAATTCATGACAGTAGCAAAATTACAGTTATGAATTTGCAACAAAAATAATTTTATGGTTGGGGTTACCACAACATGAGGAACTGCATTAAAGGGTTGTGGCATTAGGAAGGTTGAGAACCACTACTCTAGATCCATGTAAACTGGGATGGACGGTGTGGGGTGATGGACAGACAGCACACAACCCTCCACACCCAACAAAAAACAAATGTAGAGTGTCTTTTGTTTAAATACTTCTCAAAATATTCTGGGGAAAAAGGGCTATGGTTACTTTAAGAATAAGAGGTCAAAAATGGCAGATGAAAAACACATATTTAGGCCTTTTTAATATTTATCAAGGCAACCAAATGGGTAAAGATCCATTGGAGAAGCTGGCGGATTTCTCTGCCTATAGAGAAAACAGGTCAAAATTAGAAGTTAGCTGCCAAGAAAATCCCTCAGAGGAAAAAAAAAACATTTAAAGGGATTCACAATTCTGATATATAGAGATTTAGTTTAAAAATCCCTGATCAGTTTTGGCCAAGTCACAGAAAAGCATAAAGTCGGCTTCTTCCTGATTAAAAGAGACAGGTAAGTCCTGAGTACTAATGTAGCAAGTACTCAGGGCTTTTCTGTCCCTACTTCTCACTCAGAGTCTGTAGTAATAAAAAAGAATCACAGTGAAACCCAGTAGCAGAAGAAATGTAAGATTTAAATTGTTAATGGAACTGGTTAGTGGGCTGTCACTGAACCTTGGACCAGATCTGGATGCCATGCAAAATGTAGAGTAAGTAAAATCCTTTTGGACCAAAAGTTGGTCAAGGTTAGATTAAAAAAATGTTCCTTAATCTTTTCCAAGTTAGAGAGGAAGAGGTAATAAGTGATGAGAAGTGTTTATATTTCTGAAGACGTGCTCCAAATTGTGCACCTTGTTCTTTGTATGCACAGCTACATCCTATGTGCTTGTTCAGTGACTGAATTGAAGGAAACAGTTTCTCCCCAGAAGTTCTTCGACAAGCGATGATGACTGCCTACCATGGGCAGCGAGCTGGGTCAGTTAGAGCCAGTCTGCTTGTTCGGGACTCTTGCTTTACCTGGTGGAGTGCTTTAGTGTGATTGATATATTTTATGTTTGAAATGAAAACACAGAAGAAGAAAAAAAAAACTATGAAAATGCCAAATGATTGTTAAATTTTCAGGAAATAAAGTTGATTCAGTGATTCTTATTTTGAATGGTAGTTTTTTGAAGAAATGCAGACATAATTAGAAAGATTACAGAGTTAGTTGGTGATTTTTATAGATTTTTATGGGGAGTTCTGGATCATTTTAAGTGTTGTACAGATTGATGGCCCTAGGTCAAGTGTCTGGCTTTAGTTTTCTGAAACTTAAAGGCTTTTCTTTTCCTTGATATACATTTCAGTGAGTAATATTACTGTAATGCCTGTCAGCTACTTTGCTTAGAAATACAACTAAAATAGATTGAGGAAATGAGAAAGAGAAAGGTGGGTGATGTTCTTCAGGCAACTGAAAAAGATCCTGAATACAGAAAGGAAGAAAGTGGGTAAAGAAAGTGTGTTTGTATGTGTGACAAAGAGAATGCCCAAAATAGTAATACTTGACTCAACGTGAGAACTGAGATTCCCCTCAGTGGTAAAGAAATATATATATATATAAAAAACCCTAATAGGCAAATAGACAATACAGTAGAACAATCTAACAACTGGTGGCTATGACATGTGCTGACCATCAGGGGGCACACATGGAACATGAGGGGTGTGGCAGCAGGTGGCAGAGTGCAGAATATAGCGGTCTTTGTTGGCTGTGGCGGGATGGTGGAGCAGGTGAGCTGGGGCACCAGACCAAGGCAGGGTACCAGTTGCTGTCATTGGGGTGAGCTTCTGGTGGTTACTGAAAATTCTTTGCCCCTGTGTGCCGCAGTCCTGTCTGGCACTTGCGCCTGCTGCTAGAGCCCTTCAGTTCGCACCCGCTGCTGGTGTTGGAGCCACCACTTGCACCTGCTGCCAGCACCCAGCGCTGGCCCCG